AGGAGGCCGTGGAGCCTTATTGTGCTGAGACCCCGGGCCTTCGTGGCGGGAAGACCCTCCGACCCCAATGCCCGACGTCCCCAGGACCCTGAGCTTTGAAGACCCTCAGACCACAGGGCCCTAATACCCAAGACGCCAACGCACTAAGACCCTAAGACCCGTCACGACCTGGGGACCAGAACTCCTCTTCACGACAGATAGACCCGAAGACTCGACGAAGCGAAGGCTCGACAACAGTCGGACCGAGGTATAAGATCGAGGTCGGTTCGGGGAGGATGCCCTAGTGCTCTTCGTGGTTGTTGGATGCTCTTGTGCTTCCAGGGGAGGGTACCTCTGGATGTTCTGTGTGTTTTGGCTGACGGAGGGTCGCATGTTTTTGAAGAATGACATTCGGGCCCAGGTCCGATTGTAGTAAGACCTCAAACCATGAAGAGCCTAACATATTCTGACTCTAATACCCTCATGCACTAAAACCCCAAGACTTCCATACAGTAGTACCCCAAGACTCGGACACTCGTATAGCCTAAGACCTGACGACCCCAACATACGATGGGCCAGATTCCCAAGGCCCCCATCTACTCATACACGAAGAGCTGAAGACTGTAAGGCGGGAGGACCCTATGACCCTAGGTCTTGACCTGACCTAACACCCTGATGCCCTACGACCCCAAGGCCCTTAGACTTGAAGGCACTACTGCCCTAACACCCGAACGCGCTAAGACACTAACACCTTAAGGCCCTGCTACCTCTCTCCCCCCTGGACGATCGTAAGAGGAAAGGGGGGTTCACGGTGCACGCGGCCGCCGTGGAGACGGAGGCTGTTGAGTATCGGGTGTGGTGTTGGATACGACGGTTGCTGAGTATACGAGGTGTGTGTCGGAGGCGGACATGGGGCGGGCGGCGGGTGGCCCGTGGGCGGCGCGTGGCGGGGAGGCGGCGGGTGGATCGGGTTCTTAATCGAATTCCTAACAACACTCTTTTGCAGCGGGATGCTGCTGAGCAGATGGGTGGGGCGTTGGAGACGGAGGCTGTCGATGATCGGGTGTGATCTTCGAGATGGAGGCTGTTGAGTAGATGGTGTGGATGTGTGTTGGGCACGGAAGCGGGGCGGCGGGCGGCGGGCGGCGGGCGGGCGGTGGGAGGCTCCACGTTCTATTCGAGGTCCTACGGGTTGACTCTAGCAGCGGGATGTTGTGGAGTAGAGGGGTGGGGTGTTGGACGCGGAGGCTGCTGAGTGCAAGGTGTGGTGCTGGGGACGGAGGCTGTTGAGCAGATGGTGTGTGTGTGTGTGTGTTGAGACGGAAGCGGGGCGAGCGGCGGGCGGCGGGCAGGCGGCGGGCGGGCCTGATACATACATACGAGCGTGTGTCCTGAATCCACTCGGGCCCGCATACCCACACGACCGAAGACCCGCATGCCCTGAGCCCCGACGGCGTTGCTTCCCGCAAAGCTTTACGACACTCCTGCCCTGAGACAGTGGGATACCCATACGCAGCCATGGGAGCAGAATTCTTGCAGCTGTGTTGGTGGCCAGCTGAGGGCGTCTTGGGAGTCGATGGGTCACGAAGTGCGCCAGTAATTCGAAGCAGTTTTGGCCCACAGCCCGAAGTCTTCCGAACGATCCCAGAGACAGCTGCCTCCGATTGAGAAGCAATGCGTGGGTTGGTGCACATCCAGGGTAGCCAGTGCGGCAACCAGATCGGGGCGAAATCCGTAAGGGCTTCGCCTCCTGCCGCCGACCCCCACTCTATCATAATGGGATATATCAGAGTCGCGTCGGTGCGCCTCGGCGCGCGCATCTGGGAGCATCATGCGGGGGCGGATGGGAGCATCAGCGCATATTGAGACGCTCGCGTTATCCTAGTGGCCTGTGGCCCATCCCGCCACCGTGCCTGGGTTGTGTGTGGGTCTGAGGCCTCGTTTATATGTGTTGGGGTGTTGTGGTGGGCCTCTGGGGGACCACCTGGAGGCGGTTTGGGCGCCTCTCGGTGGCCTCTTGGGGCCTCGTGGGGTATCTTTTGGGCTTTTTGGAGGCTTCTTGGGCGCGTCTTGGGCGCCTTTTGGGGCCTCTTGGGGCTTCGTGGGGCCTCTTGACGGCCTCTTGGGGCCTCCTGGCTTCTCGGGGTACGAATATCGAATGTTTGGTTTGTGCCCCCCTGCTTGGGCCCCTCTTGGGGCCGTTTTGGGCCCCCTCGAATCTTGGATGTCAGCAGCCGCCAGGAGGATTAACAATCATTTTGCTCATGATTGCAAGTGGTCGGTCAAGTTCCTTGGCTACTTTACTGGATACAGAAGAATTGCGGCGTGAGTTCAATAGCCCTTGGAATAATGCTACCATTGACAGGCTGCGATGCACCATCGTAACGAAGGGGAACACAGAAAAATGAATTCGAATGGCGGAGGGGAGCACCAGTGAGGTGCGACGCAGTGCTACTCTTAACCATGTGAACTTCGATTTTCACACAGGTTTCATACGCGACTTGATGGAACAATTCCCTGTTGTGACTGAGTTGTTTTCTTCTTTCTGGGCCGCTTTCAATGGTTTTAAGGACGTGACTGGCATCGGTGCTTTCCGCGCGTTGCACATATTGTTCTGGACGTATAACGCATACGATGTTGAAGTGTGTGTTCCAGATGAAAACCTTCCAGACATCCTTGGGCCAAACGTAAGGGAGATGGCTCGTATGCGCCAAGGATGCAATTTTCAATTGTTGCAACTATACCGCGCCGTCCAGACCATTCTGCCTCACATGGAGCCGGTGGGGTTCCAGATTTGGACCTGCAAGGTCGTGAACTTTATCTTCTTGCTCAATCTAAAGAAACAGCCGAGCCTTTGCTACAGAGGTGAGGAAGAGCATGAGGAAGCGCACCACGACGACGAACTTCAGCAGGTAGACGAGCCCATCTTGGCAAACAAACGCCGCATCACGAAGAAGCGGAAGCCCAATGACACGTGATTGAAAACAACCCTGTTGTTGTTGTGCGCATACCCATTCACACGTGTGTGTGTCGCGAAGCTTTAAGCTTCGCGACATACACACGTGTGAATGCGGGTCGTTTTCAAAATGGAGTTTTCGTTCTGGCGCCGCGGACATTCGTCTTTAAATTCAGCCACGGTCTCACGGACGGAGTAAACGCATGTTGTCGTCGGCTCGTGCGCTGGCGCGCCCCAACTCCCTGGAATTTGCAACGGGGTGTTCGTTGCGGCGCGCAAGTGAGTGACCTAGTGGTACAAGCGGACCAAAAACGGCCGAGCCGACCCCGCACTCATATCTAGACCAGCACGAGCCATACCTATCACCATCACAACATATCTGAATGGCCCAGTCACATTCTCAGGAAGGCAATTTACATATCGTCAAACAGTACACATACATTTACATACCCAACACGCCTATAACCCCTATAACCCCCTAACTCCTATAACCCCTATAACCCCTGTAACCCTATAGCCCCTATAACCTTCATAACCCCTATAACCCATGTGCCCCTTATAACCCAATACAACCCCTATAACCGTATAGCGCTTATAACCCCTATAACCCCTATAACCCTTATAACCCCTATAACCTCCATAACCCCGATAACCCCATATAACCCTTATAACACCTTATACCTCCATAACCACTAAAACCCCATATAACCCCTTTAACCCCTTATAACCCCTATAACCCCATATAACCCTATAACCCTTATAACCCTATAACCCTTATAACCCGTATAACCCTATAACCCTATAGCCCCATATAACCCTTATTACCCGTATAACCCCTATAACCCCTATAACCCTTATAACCCTTATAACCCTATAACCCCTTATAACCCTTATAACCCCTTAGAACCCTTATAACCCTGAAACCCGTATAACACCTATAACCTCTATAACCCCTTATAACCCATTATAACCCGTATAACCCTTTATATCACCTAGAACCCCTAAAACCCCTTTAACCCTTATAACCTCTATAACCCTATAACTTCTTATAACCCCTCATAACCCTTCATAGCCCCTTTAAAATCTTGTAGAACCCCTTTATAGCCCCTTAAAGCCCTTTATAACCCCTATAACCCCTATAACCCTTATAGCCCCTATAACGCCTACACCCCCTATAACCTCTTATAACCCCTTAACCCCTATAACCCGTGTAACCCGTACAACCCGTATAGCCCTTATAACCCTTAGAACCCGTATAACCATTATAACCAGCATAACCTCTATAACCCCTATAACCCTATAGCCCTATAGATCCCCTAGAACCCATATAACCCCTTATAACCCCTATAACCCTATGACCCCTATAACCCCTACAACCCTTATAACCCCTATAACCCTATAGCCCCTATAAAACCCTTATAACCCCTTATAACCCGTGTAACCCGTATAACCCGTATAACCTTTATAACCCTCAGAACCCGTATAACCACTATAACCAGTATAACCTCTATAACCCCTTATAACCCTATAACCCCATATAACCGTATAACCCTATAACCCGTATAACCTCTATAACCCTTATAACCCTTATAACCCTATAACCGTTATAACACCTATAACCCATATAACCTTTATAACCCTTATAACCCCTATAACCCCTATAACCCCTTTTATAACCCATTTAAACACCTTTATAACCCCTTATAACCTTTCAAACCCCTTAGAACCCCTATAACCCTATAACCCTTATAACCCCTATAACCCTTATAATCCCTATAACCCTTTATATGACCCCGTATAACCCCTTGTAACCCCTTGTAACCTTTTATCACCCCTTATAACCCCTTATAACCCCTTATAACCCCTATAACCCTATAGCCCCATAGCCCCATATAACCCTATAGCCCCTAGAACCCCTAGAATCCTTATAACCCCTATAACCCCTTATAACCCCGATAACCCGTATAACCCCTATAACGCCTATAGCCTTCATAACGACTATAACCCTATAAGAATACAGCGACAGCGCCGGCGCCGCCGCCGCCGCCGCTGGCCCCTCCAGCAGGCTGCCGCGGACCCTGGGCGCGTGCCGCGCGGGCGTCAAGCAGCCCCTTGGGTGCGCGCGCGCTACGATGCTTTCCATTCAGCCGATGCCGATGGCAACCCGGAGGCCGCGGCCAGTTCCGCTGCAGGTCATCGTCGGTCTTCTTCGATGTCATCGTCGGTATACTCGCCTTAGGGGGGGGGGATTGAGAAGGAGGGGGGGGCAGGATACAGCTTCGGCTTTTTTTGGTCTCCCAGGGGCGATAGGGGCGCAGACAAACATTACATCGCATGCCTTTCCCTGGGCTTGAGACCCCAAGGTTTTGCAGAAAACCTTGGGGTCTCAAACCTAAGGGTGAACGACAATTTCCTCACGAAAATAATGCCCGTGGGAGCCTTAAATTGCCGCCTGATGGGGCCGTCGTCCCATTGTCGTCCTCGTCGTCGTCGGTCGTCGTCGTCTGGCGTCCTCGTCGTCGTCGTTGTCGTTGTCGTCGTCGTCCTACTCGTCGTCGCAAAGGCGAGAACCCCTATGGATGGGCCCGCGGCTCCTTCTACAACGTCTGGTACTCGGGAGGGAGCCAACCAGGACAACCGCGCGAAATCCAGCACATCGAGGCGTTGGCTGCTGATGTGTTCCAGGCGCTGACCAGCCACAACCTGGGGAGCAGTGATCATTGAACCCTTGCGGGGCCCGCGTGCTTCGACGGCCCCCCGCGGGGCCTCGTCGAAGCGATGGTTTCCTCGTGGGGACCAGGAACATAGCTCTCCCGTCTGAGTCTGGTTCGGAGGGGTGCTGTTGCGAGAGCTTCTCGGTCAAGTCGTACAACTTCTCCAAGGTCTTGGATCCTCTACCCTCAATCCACCCCCAGCTGGATCCCTGCCTTGGTGAACCCATCACGGAAACAATGGCCCCGCTTTTCTTATGCATGCGGCGGCGGGGTGAGGTGGGGGAGGCGGAGGAGGAAACGTCGAGTCTCACCCTGCAGGTCACTGAGTGGGAGCCCGCGGGGCGCGGGCCGCCACCGCCAGCGGGGGGCGGGCCGCCTCCGCCAGCAGGGGGCGGGCCCCCGCGCCCACCGCGGGTTGCTGCGCTGACGCCGCCAGAGCGCGAACTGATCGAAGCCAACAGCGACGGCGCGGACTCCTCAAACTCGCCATCGAACGAATCGAGCTCGTGGCAGCCGCCGCCGACGCGCCGCGCGGCGAAGCGCGCGGCGCGGGTGGCGCGGCGTTAGGGGCTGTGCGCAGCGAAGGCTATGCGTAGCGAGCGGTGTGTTCCAAATGTAGATAGAGCGACAATTGAGCATGGTCCTCCTCTTTCCCGCATCCGTTGCGCACCGTGATCGGGTACAGTGCGAACCTCGCTAAGGTGGCCGCGTGGTGGCGACCTCGATTATGGGAACCTCGATGTCTCTGCTTCGTGACCAAGTGGGGGGTGCCCCCCGTTATTGCTGCTGGTGCTGGTTGGGGGGATTGTTTTGTTTCTCGCCCCCTTCCGCCCCCAGGGGGGACGAGGGGGAGGAGGAGGAGGGGGGGGGGAGGGGGGGGAGGAGGAGGAGGAGGAGGAGGAAGACGAGAGGGGCCTCACACAGGGATCGTTTGGAAAGTGCTACGCACCTTTGGAGAGCGCGCCAGAGGGACTCTGCGGGCAAAGCCTTACAGCCGGAATCCGGTGGGAAGGGATCTGAAAGACTGCGCCGCAAGGCCTCACAACAGACATCCTTTGACAAACACAAGCGAATTTGTATTGGAGCGCTCGCAACAGGAACCATGCTGAAGACACCCCACATGGTTCCTATGGCCTCGCAACAGGATTCCGCCCTGAACCATTGCGCACAGGATCGTACGGTAAAGCATCATAAACGATACCGCTTAGAAGCCATTGCTTAGTGTTTTTTTTGGGAATCATCACAAGAGGAATCGATTGAAATGCCTCGGGCTTGGAACGCTGTGCGAAGTGCTACACAGGGGTTCCATTGCATGAAATCACATTAGGAATCCTGTTGTAAAGCGTTGGCAAAGAACACGCGTTCTGTTAGAAACAATCATACTTGGAATACTTTGGAAAGTGCCCCAGAGGGATTATGTGGCAACAGACAATTGGAACCCTTTCAGAAGGATTATATCATTTTTTTTTTCTTCGGACGGCCTCGCAATATAGATCCCCTGGACTTTACAGCGAAGGGATTATACAGGAGCGCTTCGCAACAGGAGTTCTTCGGAAAACCAGATAGGGAGTCTATCGGAAGCCTCACAACAGGAATCCTTTGGAAAGCAGCACGAAGGGCTTCTATTGGAACGCACCACAAGATGGAACATTTGGAAAACGCTACGACGGGCTCCTGTTGGAAAGCGCCACAAACATAATCCAGTGGAAAACACTACACAGGGATTCGTCATAATTGGAAAACGGCACTCAGGGGTTCTCATTGGAAAGCCGGCACAAAAAAAAAATAGCCCATCGGAAAGCACCACCGAGGGATTCGATGATAAAGTTCCACACCATAGCACCGGTTTGAAAGCGCCATTGAGGATTCTTTTTGGAAAACAGCACGCAAAGGAATCCATCAGAAAACCGCACAACAGGGATTGAATCGTGAATCCTCGCACCAGGAATCTTTCGGATAGCGCCGCAGAGGGATTCTATGGGAAAGCTCCACGACAGAATTCCGTCGGAAAACACCACGCAGAGTTTTTTTAAATGCCTGGCAAGAAGGTTAGGTTCCTTTGGGAAACACCATGAAGGGATTCTACAGGAAATCCTCACAATGGGAATCCTTTGGAACGCATCATACCAGGAATCCCTTGGAAAACACCGCAAGGAGATTGTATTGGGAAGCGTCACAGACATAACCCGTTGGAAAGCGCCGAAAAGATTCTTTTATGAAAGCCTCACAACAGGAAACTTTTTGGAAAAGACCACAACACCATTCTCTTGGAAACCGTTACAGTGGGAATCCAGTGGGATGCACCACAGAGGGATTTGATGGGAAAACTCAACACCAGAGCACCGATTTGAAAGCACCACTGGTTGCTCCTATGGGGAGACCGCGCAAAAAAGGAATCCGTCGGAAAGCACCACAGAGGGATTCAATTGGGAAGCCTCGCGCCAGGAATCCTGTGGATAGCGCCGCAGAGGGATTCTATGGGAAAGCTCCGCGACAGAATTCCGTCGGATAACACCACGCAGAATTTCTTTTGGAATGCCTGGCAAGAAGGTTCCTTTGGGAAGCGCCACAAAAGGGATTCCACGGGAAATCAGAGTGGAAATCTTTTGGAACGCGCCGCAAAGGGGCTCCTATTGGAAAGCATCACAGCAATAACCCTTTAGAAAACACCAGAAGGATAATCTATGGGGAAACATCACAGGTAGGTTCGTGTACACTGCGCTGCGCCAGTTGCTACCGTTCGTGTGCAGTTCCGCATTCCTTTTTTTCATTGTGCATTGCGATCGAGACAGGGATCCCTGCACGAAAAAAAGCAGACCCCAAGTGGATCATCGACGTCGCCCTGTTGCGCTCGCTTGATGCCAGCTCATCACCCTGCGCTCTTGCCTTGCACCATGCCATCGTGACTTTCTGTCGATGGGGACAAAACGAACAAACCTTCAAAAACAATGGGTCAGGGGATAGGCCAGCGCCCCTTCACGTGTCCCACGCCACCCCTGGAGTTCAGAGCGCCCGATCTGGGTGCGGCAAATTGCTGGTTGTGGGCTCCCCCCTTTTCGCGCAGGCAGAAACCAGGATCATAACATTGCATACTTGAAAGTGAAACTGATGCTGGTTGCAGCACGCTTCGGCCTATAGCGTGGTGGCCCCACAAGAGGGGTGGGCGGATTTTGGGAATTCATTTTTAATGAGCATGGACTAGATCCTACAGGCACATACCATGGTGATTCCGATCTCCAGCTCGAGCGCATCAGCGTCTACTACAATGAGGCAACAGGGGGCCGTTATGTCCCTCGTGCTGTTCTGATGGATTTGGAGCCAGGCACCGTGGGCAGCGTCCGCGCTGGACCTTTTGGCCAGCTCTTCCGCCCAGACGACTTGGAATTTGGCGAGGGGGCTGACGAGGCAGAGGCCACGGCGGGCAGGCAGAGGGGTGGAAGCAACACCCCTGGGCGGGCCCAGAGCCCAGGAGCCGGCCGCGCGGCGATGGAGCCGATCTGGTGCCACAACTGCGGCTCCGGCGACATGGCGTGGGGCGCGGCGCGCCAGGCGGCCGAGGCAGGCGTGGCGGCGGTCATCCTGCAGGAGCACATGCTGCTGGGCAAGAAACCGGCAAGTTTCGTCCGCTACTGCGACAAGCTCGGCTACCGTGCCTTCGTCCAGGATGCGGCGCCGAAGGCGGGCGAGAAGGGCTGCCGGGGTGGCGCCGCGACGCTGGTGTCGAAACGGCTCCGCTCGGCAACGCTGCACGCGTGGAGCGACAAGGACTGTTTTTTCCAGCTTGTCACGGCAGGCCCCCTTCACCTGGGCAATGCCTACATCCCGCCGTCGGAGGACAGGGCGGCGTGTTTGGCAGAGATCGCCCAAGTCCTGGCCAGCCTCTGCCCGGTCCGGTGGCTGATCAGCGGTGACTGGAACGACGTCCCGGCCGAGAATGCGCTCGCGCTCCTCCTTGAAGAGCGCGGCGGCGAGGTGGTGGCCGCGCGGGGCGCGCAGGGGAACGAGGTCGCGACAAGGTGGAGAGGCACCAGGTGCGCCGACAATTTCCTTGCGAACTGCGGCGAGGCGCGGGCGGAGGGCTTTGCAGACGCCACCTCCTCGGACCACAAGGTGGTGCGCACGGCGGTCGCCTTCAGAACGCGCTCGGCCAGGCAAGGGGTTACCGACGGAATGCTCAGGAAGCGGCAGCGCACGGTGGACTTGGCTCGCCCAGCGGAGGTGCCCGAGCGCGTCTGGTAACAGCTGGTGGTGAGGCATTGGCGCCAGTGCACGCCGATGCCGGTGCCCTCCCAGCGCCCGGGCGCCGGGCAGGAGGCCGCGGTGGTCGACCGCCTGCGGTGCTCCACCATGATCGCATTGGAAGGGGCCCTCCGGGGCGCGCGCCGGGAGCTGTATCGCAGGGAGGGCAAAGATCCGGCCTTGGAGGACCTGGGCTGGGGGCGGTCGAAGATGCGCCAGCACTTGGTGCAACCGCAGGA